GGGTGTTCGTAGACCAGGAGTCTAACTCGGTTCCTGGTCTACGTAGCGACACGCGGTAAGCGGCAATCGGAAGATCGTCAAAAATAATGACGGAAAAACATCGGCTATTTTTTGGGTCAGGTCAAAGGTCAGGTTGCCAGAGGTCATCAAAGGTCAAATGTAGTCCATTTCAACAATTTTGGAAACTGCCAACGGCTAACTCGGAAACCAACTATAGAGCTACAGCGCCGCGGAAAAGCGCATTCGATAGCCCTTATACAGACCTTTCTGAATAGTATTTTCAGATTTGAGCTCAGGCCAACGGTTTAGCCTCTAGAGGGCAAACACTCTAAAAATAGCCGTTTTCACGAAAAAGGTTTTATGGTGATAACTGTTAATCCAAGCAGGCCACATGACTTTTGCCAGCATCGTGTTTCTCTCGCCGAGACGCGTCGCATTGACTATTCGTTGACCTTGAGAGGTCATTTTGAAAATATGACCCCTGGTCAAGGCCATAACCTTTACCTGACCGGAAAGGGTCATGTTGCATATCAGTCGATCAGTATCGTTGAGCTGAATACATCTGAAGTGTTTTCATCGCTCTAGCACGTCTCTATAAAGTTATATCCAAAAACTGCTGGTGAGCGTTCATGACCCGAGATGACCTCAGGGGCACACAGAGGGATCACAGGTGCATTTTCCTCGGTGTGCCAGGGGTTGTTCAAACACCCCCCCCCCCAGCAGGGCGCGGGTTCTACGAAAGACTACGCTCGCTTCACTCGCTCCATAATAAACTGAATGTTTGGAGTGTTTAGAACGGCATTCATCCAAAAGAAGGCGCATTTTAATTTTCTCACATTGATTTAGAATGGAGAGGTCACAAAATTGACCTGACCTTAGGATCAAGTGACCTAACCTCAGAAAAAGTTAGAACCCTCGTCATAGCTACACCGACTGAACGATCGCCTTGAAACTGTCAGCGATTGATAAGGGTACCAGCATATATGAAATAGGTATATATTTCAGAATTTTGATTTGAGTGACCTAAGGTCAGGTCAATTTTGCGACCTCTCCATTAGGTAGGTATAAGTCAATGGGAGAAAATTGAAAGGCGCCTTTTTTGTACGAACGTCATTCAAAGCATTCTCAAACACCGAGTTACGGGTAAACTCGATAAGCTGAAGCGAAAATGGCACCTGTGACCTCTCCTGATGTCGGATGTCCTGAGGTCATATCAGGTCATGAAAGATCCCCAGCATTGATAGAAACATGCTAGAGCGATGAAAATACCTCAGGTGTGTTCAGCTCGACGATACGGATCGACTGATGTGCAACATGACCTATTCTCGTCTGGTCATGACCTTGACCTGAATTCAAATTTTAAAAATGACCTTTCAAGGTCAACTTATAATTCATTCGACGCGTCTCGACGAGAGGGGCACGGGGCTGGCAAAAGCAATATCGTGGCTCTCTTGAATTCGTGAAAACAGCTATTTTTAGTTGTTGCCCTCTGGAGGCAAACCGTTCACCTGAGGTCAAATCTGAGGACATGCAGGCGAAAGAGCATTAAAAGAGCTATCGAATGCGCTTTTCCGCGGCGCTGTAACTCTATTGGTTCCCGAGTTAGCCGTCGGGTGTTTCGAAAATTGTTGAAAGACAAAATTTGACCTTTGATGCCTCTGGTGACCAGACCTTTAACCTCACCTTAACAATATATAATATTTTCATGAAAAATGTGCTTAGCCTATAAGTAAAAGGGTAGTAACGATGGATTCAGTGGCGAAGCTATTAAAACTTCAACTTTGTTAAGCCGCAGGTAGGGGTCCTTTTCGAGCATCTTAAAGTGAACATCCCACCTTAACATTAGTTTTGAGTTGAGATAGCCAAATTGGTGGCCATGGCCTGAAAATAGATTTGACCACATAGATTTGACCCATCTTGAAGCTTTGACCACAGTTTCCCCGACCGAACTCTACCTTGCACGAACCAGAAGCAGAAGCACATACCTAAGTGATGGCTCCCTTGTAGCCATAACGGGAGCAAGATTCTTACAAATAAACGGAAATAAGTCGTTAAATTTGGGCTCTGATTAACAGTAAAGCAGTCATGAGAGGCTGAAATGGTAAAAAATAACAGACTTAAGAAAAGGTGCCGCAGGTCCAAAAACTACAGTTTCATTTTTTGTATGATTAGTACTGTCTGGTGGGGCAATGTGAGGGGTAATTAACTAATGCAAAGGCTTGGGTTGGGTGGCCTAATATTTTTTTGTTTAAAAAAGTTTTTTTTTCAGGTTTCAGTGCTGTGATGAAATAAAGGTGGCCTAAATCCAGTGAGAAAAGAGGAGTTAGGACTTAGGAGTAGTTACCCTAGGTTTGGCTCCTTCAGTCTCTAGCCATCCAGTGAAAATCTCTTAGATGAGGCCCTGGGTCACTTTATGTGACCTGACCTTCAGTGACCTAGGTCTGAAACTCACAACATGTGCAGAAAAGATGCATAATAAGGTTAACCAGAAACTGGGGCTGTTCAAACAACTACCACTCACCAGCAGGTCACCGGTTAAGAAAATGGCAACTGACCATGCATGTCTATGTAGATCTAAGAACAGCAGAATACAGGGCACTGATTAGGTATATTATTTTCTGTATCATTTCATACTCCTAACAGCTAGGCACCAATCAAAAATATAAATCATGTTCAAACTTTTGCCACATATAGAACAATACATGCTCACCAGAAAGTCATAGGCAATCTGTTAGCATTTTCAAAAACCTACTGTAAATTGCAAATTAAGCATCATTTTTTAAAAAGATTTATGCAGATTGCAGGGAGTTTAAGTGGTAGGTACAGCCCACCACTGAAGTAATGTGCGGCTATACCAATCTCAACAGAATGGCTTTGACTGTTGTAAAGGAGGTAATTCAGGAGTGTATAGCTAACGATAAATTTGCAGCTGAAAGCTTGACAATACATGTAATCTATATTTCAAGTTTCATTGTAGTCTGGCACATCATTCTTGTTCTTGAGATACAAAAGCAAAGCATAAGCATGACTGAAAGCACATGTTACCTCTGTGCTGGACTGTACACACACATCAATTTTAACTTTCAGGAGTGGGTGACATAGACAGTGGTGAGTGATGTCTGGCCTGGCCTGCTCCAAAAGTGATCGCTGCCCTGTTCTAACCCTGTTTCACTATCCTATCATTTTAATATAAAAAAATTGTTTTTGATGATGACATATATTGAATGTTGTTGATGAAGCTTCCACTAACTTTGAAGCAGCACTGCATGATAAATGAACAGACACTTGCCTGTGAGTGCGATAACCAGCAGGAATCAAACCTTTGCACTGCACTGCTGGCAACCATCTTCGGAGACAGGGTTGGCCATTGATAGTTGATACCAACCTCTTTCAATGTACATTGGACATACACACATCCTCATGGTTTTTTCAAATTGAGACAGTCAAACTGACAAAACCAGTCCACTGTTTCAGTCATTTCACCAGTGGCCTCGTCTTTCCTTCCTCCTGACATGACTGATCCTTGTATTTCTTGACTTCCGACATGTACTGCGACCATGCATCTTTCTTTTCAGTGTCTTCATCTTCATCCTGCTTTGCCTTTTTCACTTTTCCTGTGGGAAGTATCTTCCCACCACGCCTTTTGCCCACAAATCCATACTTTGGTCTCGGTATCTCCTTTGCAGACTTCTTACTCTGCTCAGGTTCACTCTCTGCTGCCCGAGACGAAACCGGCGCAGGGCCACTGACTTGACCGACCGTAGACGTGCTTGGCTTTGAAGTACCACTTTGCTGAGCTTTTTTAAACATTTCTAGAAAGCTTCCATCATTTTTGAAAACGTTTGCAGGCATTTTAACTTCATCTGGAGTAGGGATTGTTCCTCGTTCACGTCCAAGTCGCCTGTCACCCGACGCCATATTCGTCAAACTCGGCCCATGTCGTCCCCTATCTCTCTGCGTGTCCACTAACACGAATGACGTCACGCATGTGGGCGGAGCTATGGGCGGAGCCTAACGCACGCGGCAGTCCAAGCCGCCATATTTGAATTTTTATTTTAATAGAATCTTGCCGATATTTTGGGTGAAGTCAATTTATATGGATAGCTTGGAGACAGTTTAGCTATACGAATAATAATTTATTATGGATGTGCGTATATTCAGCTTGGAATTGCAATTAAAGTTCCGCACCGCATAGATTCGAACTCGGGACCTTTGGAATACTGCGCGGGCACGCTAACCACTACACTACCGCGACCGCGCGGCGGCCGGCGGCAGGGAGGCTGCGGAGACATGGGGGGACATTTTACGCTTTTGTGAAAAAAGCAAAAGATTTAGCGAAAAACACGTAATAGATAACTTGCAGAAAATTGTCTGCTCTTTTAGGTAAGATACTTAAGTTTGATATATCTTGTGCAGACTTCATTCTACAGTGCTTCGAAAATCGCTCATTTACATGGGGATTGAACGGGGCTTCGAGACTTGACTCCAAATGACGTCACGAGCTGACGTCACGGAAAGGTAGAATCGCCGGACGACCCTACCTGGTATATAGGGCCTTGGTCAAACTTACCAAGGACTCAATATTTATTTAACGACGAAGTTACGACAAAACAATCCTCAGTGTAAATGACGTCATTAGTTTGAACCGAGATCTACGAGGACCCTCACTGTCGCCTGCATTAGTAGGGGAAGGATAGTGCATAATGCCGGGGCAATATGAGACAGTGCATACTGCATTTTATCGTAATTCGTAACCCGCGCCGGGCCGGTGCTCGGCGCCAACCCTGCCGGGCCGGAGAGGTGTCTGAACTCTCTTTTACGATTTTCGTAAAAATTACAGGGTAGGTATACTTTCGAAGGCGATCTAGCTGATGGCACCGGTCGCTACTCGCTCAGAATTCTTTTGCGCGTGGCACGTGCGTTTCAATTTTCGGCTTTCGCCCATGTTTATAAGTCAATGGGGTTTTGTGACACTTTTTGCGCGATCGCAAATGGCGGGAAAACGAGCCAAGGAAGAGGTGGTTTTCTTCCCAGCATTTTATGGCAAACACGTTCCGGTACACGCCCGTGTGCGCCGGTTGGGACTTTTCAATTAAGAACAATCACTATTCTTTAGAATTGTGATTTTCTATTGAAAATCCCAACCTGAGCTACCTCTCTAAGGGGGTGTTTAAAGGAAAAGGGCCACCTTTAACATGGGGATTGAAACTGAGATAGCCATCTTGTAGCCCGTGTCCGAAAACCTACTTGTCTACCACCTTACGGCCGATTTCGGCCTCCATTCGTAGTTATCGGCAATTTTAAAAGAAAATACGCCAGGAATGCGTCCTTATCCCAGGAATGCGTTCTTATCCGACAATACAGCCACCCGCGGCGAGGCTTTGGTTTTTTACCAATCAGCTCCAACCAGCTCAGCTTTAACCAATCAGCTTATCTGACACAATCCGACGAGTCTGTCTTCTGAACGCTGATTGGCTTGAGTGTGACGTCATCGCTATGCCATCATACAGTGGGTGCCGTAGAGAGTATCAACATAGTACCAATATGTTAAATAGTTTTAAATACTTTTTAGCGAATTGTGCACTTCTGGCACCAGTTTTAAAAAGAAAATGAAAAATAATAATGTCAAAATGAAAAACAACGATATCTTCATATTTCACGAAGGTGGCCCTTTTCCTTTAACGTTTCTGTCGCGATTTTGGTCATTTTGATCGCCGCCGAAACGGCACGGTCAACTTTCTTGCCATTTTCAGCGTTTGGTCTCGTATGGGGGAGCTAACTTCTGGCAAAGTTGCATAGAATATAATGGGCCCGTTTTGGGGTAATCGGCACGTGCATTTTCCAATAGGGTTAACATGGGAAAAATTTAAAATGCGATTAAATGCGATTAAAACATCGATTAAAACATCGATTGCGATTAAAACGTCGTATTAGAAGTACGATGTTTGAGAGCGTTCGGAATGACTTCCGTCAAAAAAGGCGCCTTTCAATTTTTTCCCATTGACTTACATAATGGAGAGGCCGCAAAATTGACCTGACCTCAGGTCACCGATGTCTTAATTCCGAGATATACATTTTGTGTGTGATGTTACTGTTATCAATCGTAGAAAATTTCAAGGTGATCGTTCGGTCGTTGCAGCTATGACGAGGATTCTAGCTTTTCTGAGGTGAGGTCACTTCACGTAACCTGGTGACCTGACCTTGAGTGACCTGGGTCTGAAATTTTCACAACATGTGCGGAAAAGATGTATAAATTTGCGCTCCGCCGTTTTTGAGATATCTGCGGAAAACTTTAGAAGGGGGGGGGGGGCTGTGGAACATGTGCACGGTGCGCGAATGAATAATGCAGCCCATGCATGTAAAAGGCTTGGATATTGACGTCATCAGCGGTGACGCCATCCACTGGATGACGTCACCGCTGATTCATCCGCGCACCACACAGTGCGATTCTCGGAATCGCGATCCAACGCCACCAGCCGGACCTCGGAACTCGTATCGTAATTTCAGCTAGCCCGGTAGTGGCGAGATCAGCTCACTTTCAGTTGATTCATCTTGTCGGTTGTGTACCGATAAACTGAAACACAAAATACCTACTGCAGTTCTCTCGACCAGAGATTGGAATCCACAAACCCAGCGGCCTCTGGCCTCTGCTTGGACCACAAGTTTGCGCGGCGTCACGCTGCTGGCTCTGAGTTCTGACCTCTATGGGTCACAGGTTACGACCCTGGCCTCCCGCAGCTTGGGAGCGGCGCAATTCCTGCACTGGTAGCTCGAGGTGAAGCCAATGACGGGTGCGGCAGCGAAGCTATCACAGAACTAAATAATAAAAACTTGTGTGTGATAGCCGAAAAAAGAACGGCGGGTGGCACGAGTTTGGGTACAAAATTGATTCCTAAGTTTTCGGTACCCGACTTAGCGTAGTGCTAAGCGTTACTTTTGAATGTATAATGTATAAAGATCAAAAGTTGTTGGTTTTATTGAGCTCTTGAGCCATAACAAGACCCTCTCCCCCACGCCGAGTTTTATTCAATATTTTCACCGTGCGGTCGCGTCTGGCGGGCTGTGGTGACTGGCGGCGCCGGAGGCACCTCCAGCCCGTGGAGGCCGCACGGCGCCGGTCGGTCGGGCTCGGCCACCGGCTCAGTCCACCGTACCAGCTCGAGACATGAGGGGTGCGCCCGGAACGGCCGAGGCGACAAGGACCGCTGCTGGCAGACGAGAGGAGGTTGACAGGAGCGGCCAGGTTACCAGGTGAGGAGGACCCTGGGGCTAATTATGCGGCTGGCATTGGTACAGGTGAGAAGGTTCGGGATCCGGTGTGGCGAAATGTGGGACGCCGTCGTGGTTCTTTGCGGTCGACGGGTGCTCCGTTTGGGACTCGATCGTCCAGACTCAGAGTGACCGGTTGAATTAAGTACTGGGATACCATCCCTGTTCTAAGGATATTTCAGGTTTTGTTCTCGACCTCAGCTCTTGTGAGTGTGACGCACCAGCCAATGGTCTCAATCGTCTCCTTGTTATTTTCTCATCCCTTGGCCCAGAAATGGACCCGAAATAAATAGAAGGATATGAAACTGACAAAACAACCCGAACAAAACCCAAAGCATTTGTATGTTGTACATGCGGCATGTCCCTACTTTGCAAATAGATTACTACCAAATGTCTCAAATGTCGGACTAAATGCCGACTAAAATGTCGACAAAATGTCGGCTTGAGCAAAACAGCTCTGTTATGCGCACTAGTCCAGTCTCGGTCTTTTTCATGTGCTTTGGCGGCCCAGGGTCAGGCGTAGGTTTCGTTTCCTTGAATTGTCCGCTGGCCGCCAACCAGGCCACCGACCCGGCAGTCAGCGCTCAGTTTGTCCCCCCACCACCAGCCACCCAGTGTCTGCGTCCCACCCAACACTCCCGGCACCTGCACCGGCCCGGGCTTTCCCATAGTTTGCCCAGTCGCGGCACCAGTCGCGGCACCAATCACGGCACCAATCGCCCACCAGTCGCGGCACCAATCACGGCAGCAATCGCGGCACCAGTCGCGGCACCAGTCGCGGCACCACTCGCTTACCAATGGCCCACCATGGCACCCGTCCGGCCGGCACGCGAGGCTCCGGTTTACACGCAGCCCGCTGCCGGAAACGGTGACATCATGGCGTCATTTACCTGCCGATATCGGAGCCCCAAATAAGGTCCTGGAATGTGGTTCGCCTTCATGCCATTGTCATGACAGCTTTCAGTGACTTATGCGTGGAGTAGGTATACATGTTGGCTGGGTATATTCGACATGGGCAGCGCCATTCGTCCCGGTGCCGTCATCCAGACGGTATGAGGAGTCGCAGTACCAGGAGTTCCATCAGGTTCATAGTCGCCAGTCGGAACCCCAAATAATAATTTTCTTTTCGTATGGCAGCTCTTTTATCACGGTGTACGTTTTTTGGCTCTGATCCTCAATCTTAAAACCTTTTGCTCTGCAGATTGTTTGTCCCTGATGTTCAAACTTTAACTCGGTCAGATCCAGATTAATAACAACCATGGCCGAAACAATCAGTCGTTTTTCAGGTGCCGACTCGCAGTTCGGAGAACATGTCCCAGACGATGAGGGTGCAACGGCCACTGCGCTGCAGTGACTGTGACATCGACTTTCCGAGTGAGTGGACACACGTGCACTGTGCAGCTACTCCGTGTGATTAAACCGATGGGTTAAGAAATGTGGCTGCCAGCTACTTAAAGAGGAGATTCAGCAGTATTATAATTCAGCAGTAAATTATTTCATACCGAATTAGGGGTTAAATGTAAGCTGATTAAGTTTGCTTTTAAACGTGCTTAACTGCGTCCTCACTTTCTTTAACAGTTACATGTTGCAAATTAAGCATCAGGAAAGTCCATATTGTTTATCGTTCGGTGTAGTGTATGTTTTTGTATAAACAAATTATACGATTTGTCGACATTTATTTCAGATCTATGGATGAAAGCTCTTCATGACGAAAAGGACCACCCTGACTGGTCATTTCATGGTAGGAAAAATACCTTACTATTCCGCGCCGTTCTGGGGGGTGGGGGTGGGGGGTGGGGGTGGGGGGGGGGTACGCCCCGATCAATTTTTGCCCGAATATCTAAAAAAAAAAACGGCTGCGCGCAACGTCGCGGTTTTTAGTACTCTGTTCATACATCTTTTCTGCACATGTTGTGATAATTTCAGACTCGGTCGTTCAAGGACAGGTCACCAGGTCGCGTCAAGTGACCTTACCCCATAAAAGGTTCCAATGCTCGCTTTAGCTACACCGACTGAACGATTGCTTTGAAATTTTCAGAGATTGATAACAGTAAAAGTTTGTATAAAATGTATAATGTATATCTCGGAATGTCGACATCTGTGACCTAAGGTCGGGTCAGTTTTGCGACCTTTCCATTAGGTATAAGTCCAAGGGAGAAAAATTGAAATGCGCCTCTTTTGGATTAACGTCGTTCAAAACACTCTCAAACATCGGCTTATGGGTAAACACTAAAAATGAAATATTGAAACGGAAAATTGCACCCATGAACCCTCTTTGTGCTTCTGAGGTCATCTCAGGTCATGTAAGGTTTCCAACAGTTTTTTTTTTACAAAAACTTTTAATACAGACATGCCAGAGCGGACGCCATTTACATGATCTCTATTTTCGCTTTACGCATTTATTTTCTCCTTATTCTTTGTTCACTTTATTTACATTATCGCTATTTTTTTTTGTTTTATAATAGATAATGATGTTCTATCTTACTGTTTTCGATATCAACGGACGTTCGTTGACAGGCACCAAGCGCTCACTGAGATGCCACCAGTGTTCTGCCAAGTTTGATGACCCGAATATGCTGGAGGAGCACAAGCAGAGGCTTCACAACAGTAAGTGAGACAATTTTATAGAACGGACGGGTGCATGCTGTCACCGTCTTTTGTGTGAATATTTCGCTACGACGTCCGTAATATTGTTAACACGAGATGTGCGCAGCAAACGGGTTGTTTTGTCTCAATACTGAGCTAAGATATGCGTTTATTCATGTCTCGAGTTGATGTTGTATGCTTATTCATTGGATCTAACTTGCTACATGTTTTCCAGCGGTTCGAGGGAAGAGGTTCTTCGACTAGAAGACACCGAAAATCCCGGATGCATCCGTTCGATTTTATGAACACAACCCCACAGCTCAACTATGGAACAAACATACAGTATTCAAGACCAAGTCGTCCGCTGGTAAACTCAGCCCGATCACAATACTACATGACCCAATTTTTAGGGTTAAGAACTAACAACAACATCGACAGGGCGGTAGGTTTGATTATTGACATAAATGTGGTGCAGTTATCCCAGTAGTTGACGTACTCGTGTTTGTCCCTATATAAATGGCGATGAACGGTCGACTATAGATTCATGTCATTATGTCGCTTATGCCGGCGCTGCAGCTTACTTTCTCAGCGATACATTGGACCGAATTATGATTTCTAATTACAATCCCTGATGCGAGCCTCGAGCTCGACGGCGACTGCAAACTGTCCCGCTCGGCGTGATGCAGGTATCTTATAGGCATGCTATGCATTATTCATAATAATTATAATTACCATGATAGCATTACATTTTATGCATTTTTGGTAGGCATTTCTAAAGAGGTGTCGATGGTTATCTTGGCATGTCCTGCACCGCACCAAGTGTTTCTGTTTGACTTGGAACGTTATATTTTCCAGCAAAGTTATTGTCCGATTAATGGACCGAAACTATTAACGTAGTGTTATCAACGCTTCTATAGATATCTATCTACTATTGTTTACCTACATATTCGTGAACTACTTGCCAGCATGCAATACCCGGTATTGATAAAACAATTTGTTCATTTTCGCTTTAGTGGACAATATCTACAAGGTCACTTATCGCAAATATAAAGTAACCCACTTGTCTCGTGAGTTGCATTGTAGAATGTCATTTATTCTGATTCCTCTGTTTAGCTCTGGCCTGTCAAGATTTCGCCCTGCTGTTCGTCTTATTTTTCTCTTAGGTTGGCAGCGAGGTTTGCAGTGGTGACGTATGACCTCGAATACATGAATAAGTAAATACATACCTATCACAAACGGGATGTCCCATTCGCTTAGCATTATAATCCATAGGTATGTAATACGCATTACTCTGCTCATGTATCCCCGGTAATATACATATCATAAGTCTAATTCTATAATGTGCCTGGATCCTGCAGGAATAGGTACATACAATTTTATATGATGGACGTACCAATACAGGTATACGAATAACAAACTTTTTTGTTAACGGCTAACTTGACCCCAGTTATTTAGCGATCGGAAATCGCCCCAGCCCGAACCGTTCAAATAACGCGCCGCTGCCTAAAGACATTCCACACAGGCACAGACTGGATGTAGTTATTCACATGTATTCTATAAAGTATACTTGTGATCAAATTGCACAGCTGCATCGAGACGAGGCGAGAGTGGCAGCAGATGCTCGTGTCCACGTGCGTGCTCGAGCGGCGCCCATCGACACAGCGGTGAGCTTCCAGCTGTCTACGCCTGACAATAAGGCCGACAGAGGGCGAGCGGGGCCGGGGCGGTCACGGGGCTGTTCGAATCCAACTCGGGCAGGCTGGGGCTCGCCCAGCAGCTGCCGCCGTCGGAAGTGTTTTGTTAAATGTATGGCCAACGAGTTGCTACAAAAATTTACACGGAAAAGATGTGCACAGAGCTGTTCACACAGCGCGAGCAATATAACACACACACACGCACACACATTAAACTATTGATATGAATGCACTAAGAACATAAAATAAACACACGACGCTTTTACATATACACTGAAAATCATACGCGCCTGACATTGCGGAGTGATTTTTTTCTGTTTTTCTCCCTTAAAAGATAAAATTCACCACAACACAAGCAGACGGGGACGCGCCGCGGCGCGGGTCGTCCTCTGGCCGACTGGGCAGGATGACCCGGGCGCGGCCCGTCCCCGCCGCTCCGGCCGGGCCACTCCGCCGGCGCCGGGCCGACGTCCGTCGGTCAGGGCGGGCGGTCGAGCGCAGCGCCACCGGCGCCGGCGGAGCGCGCCCCACTCAGAGCTTCATTAAATGGCCACCAGATGGCAGTGCTGACGTCACAGGGGCGGCCGACCCGCCAGCGGCACCCTGTGCGTCGGCCCCGCCGCGCCAGATTTTGCCCCGTAGCTGACTGGATCACCCCAAAGACCGGTGTCCCCAGAGGGGGCGGCGAGCGCCGCAGCCGAGCCCGACACCAGGGCGCCGCCGCGGGAGCGGCCGCCTCAGAGACGACGTGCAATAGCAACCAACCGGAAGCGAGCAAAGCAAGCAAACTAACCTAACACCACTCGAGATTTACAATCAAGCGCCAAGGTGACCATAGCAAGTTGGATTACCGAAGAAGAGCCGCCGTCCCGCCGGGATTATCATATTATGCTTAGAATGAAAAGAGCGCCGCTCTCACGCTGCGCCATACGACGGAACCCTCCGCGTTTGGTGTTACTTGAAATCACGCCCGATATTTCCGTCCCTCACCTCCACCGCATGCCGAAAATAGCCCGATATCCCACACCCAGATGTTTCTCTTTCTCACTCCGAATGTCAACTACGGTGTATCACAGACAAGCGGCTGGGTCTGAACCCTGGTGGGTCAGGTCAGGTCAGGTCGAGGGCCAGGTCCTGACACCGTGGGCCCGAGATATTATGAGCAACAATGAGATGATGCTGCCCTAGCTCCGAGTGGCAGTGCCCCTCCCTTGTACATTGTCATGGGCTATGTGGCGGTGTGGTTTGACAAGGCACGGCGGCACCACGCCACGGCACAGACTGTCCCGGGAGGGCCGAGTCGTCTGACGAGGCGACCTCCTCAGCGCAGCAGAGGACAGAACTGTCCGACTGCACTGTCCGGCAGACCGACAGGACAGAACCACCTGAACCAGACATCTGCCCGACAGCCCGGACAGACAGACAGTCAGACACTCCGTCCGCAGCAGTCTGACAGAGGTCACCTGAGGACGGAGCCGGGGTCGCTCGGTGCTCCTCCCGCCGCGGAGGGTGCCACCGTCACCGAGGCGCACCGATAAAACTTGAGCCGCTCTCCGCCGCGGGCCGGCCAGCCTTTCAGAGCCGCCTCGAGGCGCACACGCCGGACAGCCGCCGGGGGCTAACTCCGTTCCAGACGAGTCGGGGCCGTGCAGGAGCGTTCGCACCTGGTCATGTTACCATATCACAAAACTCAAACAGACTAGGCGTAAAACGGGTCACTTGAAAAACTCCAGCCGGGGGCACGGCACAGAGCCGGAACCGAGGTTCCAGCATGGGTGGAGCTGCCCATTGTGACAAAATGACCGCCACTGATCAATTAGAAATGCATTTGGAATGTTTGGTTCGAAATGGAGCCGCTTAGGAATGCTATAATTTGTCAAAAATACCTTTCTTGGTCAAAATCCCGTGCGTAAGTTTCATTCCAAATCCTTCTCACCCCTGCCTTGCATATGCTCTGCCACTTTAGACTGGGCAATAGGGCTCGCGCACGGAATTTACACGTGGAATGGCGACAGTATTCAGATTCAGAGCAACTGCGCTGGAGCGCAGTGCTGCACCTTAACTAATCACTCACTACATAAAACACATTCAGCTAAATGCAAATAAGGCACGTCGAATGCATGATTGTGCAAGAACGCAATTCTTGGCTAAAACAAACTATGTACAGGTTGCCGGGCCGGACGGAGCACGACGCACTACGCGTGACTCCAGCCGGTCCCGACGCACGCAGGGAAGACTCTGTGATAATGTTGACATAAACATCCGTACAGTTAACGAACTAGCTAAACGGCTATGTATATAACAGAGGACTGTCTGGCTGCTGGTGCGGATCGACCTGCTGTGCGCTCGCCGGCGACAGGGCCGGGACGGTGGTGGCTGCGGGGTGGCAGCGCTGCCGCTCCGCACCTTCCAGACCCGGCCACTGCGCCGGCGGCGGCTGGAAGCTCATGGGAAGACAGTGGCAAATTACTGCAGTTGAAATAAAATACAAAACTTGTCGCCTGTCAGTGCGCCCCAGACTGCTCAAAAATGCATCTGGGCGCGCACGTGACAAAGCACGTCACACAATCGCTCTTCTGCCGCTCTCGTTTCCTTTCTTTCTCTCTTTCGCACTGGACTCTCGCCGGTAGGCATTGCACAAACGGCCCCCGCATTCTCAGGGCGCCCGTCGGCCTTCAGCCAATCGCGGCACAGGCTGTCACGCGTCAGCCAATCGGAGACCTCGCCCTGGTAGAGGTCACCGGCCGCCCGCCAATCACCGCGTGGCCTGGCCCGCGTCCGCCAATGAGCGAGTGGACGCTGCTTAGCGCCGGCCAGCATACCGCAGGGGCGACGCAACGTCTAGGACGCCATGAAGAGCTCAATATAGCGCGTGCCTATATGCTGCTTGTTCTTCTCGAGGATGGCGCGTTCTGCCTCAGTGCGAGACGCAAAGGAAACCATAGCCTCACCGGATGGCTGCCCCTCTGCGTTCTGCTGAAGCTGGATGCACTCCGGAGCAATCTGCGAACAGATGGGTTCAGTCAGGAATCGAACAGATCGCGATAGAGTCGCCTCACCAGCGATATTATCTTAGAAAGTTTTGAACGGTCAGAACAATGTATAAATGGTTTGATTTTGCTGTGCATCCGAAACGGATTTGGTATTTAGGTGCGTTGGTAGGATAACCGAGAAATGTATCAGGTAAAGCAGGCTTAGGACTTCGATATTACATTTCCGACCTTTAGTTCATTTAAATCGATCTGCTTAACCCTCGCGATGACCCCGTTTATCTCATTGACCTTGGTCGGAATATAGAGTCTTAGCCGGACACCTGAGATGGCGTTCCGTTCGGATCGGGCGGCCGACAGGACTGTAGGATGAGACATCAATAGGTACTTACCGGCGGCGCTTCCGGTCTCGGATGGGTTTCTGGGCTGGGTGTCGGGCGGCCGGGTCGCAACACTCAGGATCAGAGGACGACTGGCGCAGGCTGAAGCTGGTTAATAGCTCAGTTTGAGTGAAAATATAAAATGTATCGGTTACGGTTAGAGCGGATAAGTTATGTGACGGATGCACAGTTGAATCGGATGTCTAATTGCGCACTTTCCGTAAAAATATAAATTGCCAGATGCTTTCTGTTTCAACGAAGTGCTTCAAATGGTGACTACCCTTTTTTGTTTGTTATTCGGAATAATTAGTAATGACATCGTTTAAAGTAGGCACTCGACCGACAATGCCATGGCATCTCATAAAGCTAGCCAATGCAATGTGTAAGTGCAAGTGCATTGCATCACCGAGATTTACGATGACTAGGCGGTTGGTTTGCCACATGCATATTAAGTTGTATCGCAATGTTAATAATTTCTTTACAAGCAAGTACCAATCATGCGTCCAAAAGGGTATACACGTTAACCCGCGCCCTGCTGGGGGGTGTTTGAACACCCCCCTTGAGGTTTTTCGCAAATATCTCAAAAACGGCGGCGCTCCGCGCCGCCGTTTTTGGTACACCTTATCATACATCAATTCTACACATGTTGTGAAAATTTCAGACCAAGGTCATTCAAGGTCAGGTCACCAGGTCACTTGAAGTGACCTCACCTCATAAAAAGTTTCAATGTCTGTCATAGCTACACCGAGTGACCGATCGCTTTGAAACTTTCAGCGATTGCTAAGAGCAATAGCATGTACAAAATGTATATCTCAGAATTTTGATATCGATGACCTAAGGTCAGGTCAATTTTGCGACCTCCTCATTACGGAGCGAGCGAAGCGAGCGTAGTCTTTCCTTAGTTTAACGGAAATTTCTGAGTATGAGCGGCCGGCCGGCCGGCCGGCCGTGCGGACGCTTTTGCGAGGCTTATATCTCAGCAACCACTTGACCGATTTACACGCGGTAATTTTTGTAGGGTAGCTTCATTCCTTCTACCAAGTATTGGACTATTCCCGATGCATGTGGGTGACCCCTTATGCACGTGCCACGTGCAAAACGAAGAGGTGTCCGTTTTGTAATTGTTGCAATATCTCGGTAACTACTTGGCCGATTGCGCTGAAAGTTGGCATGTACGTAGGCACCCACTAGGCACTGCATATCCATGTGCCAGAGTTGGGGTGCTGCTGCACGTGCGCACGTGCAGGGGTCGTTTCCAGATCTCGAGAACGGCTGGACCGATGGCGCTCAAATTTGGTACACGGTTAGGGACCAGTTAGTAGGGTGCCGTGCACAAGTCAGTTGGGACC